CACACACAGGTATCTGATACACATGTACAGATAGGACAGGTATCTCATGAAACCCCTGTAAACACACACACAGGTATCTGATACACATGTACAGTTAGGACAGGTATCTGACGTGAAACCCCTGTAAACACACACACAGGTATCTGATGCAGATGTACAGTTAGGACAGGTATCTAATGAAACCCCTGTAAACACACACACAGGTATCTGATGCACATGTACAGTTAGGACAGGTATCTGACGTGAAATCCCTGTAAACACACACACAGGTATCTGATGCAGATGTACAGTTAGGACAGGTATCTGACGTGAAATCCCTGTAAACACACACACAGGTATCTGATGCAGATGTACAGTTAGGACAGGTATCTGACGTGAAACCCCTGTAAACACACACACAGGTATCTGATGCAGATGTACAGTTAGGACAGGTATCTGACGTGAAACCCCTGTAAACACACACACAGGTATCTGATGCACATGTACAGTTAGGACAGGTATCTGACGTGAAACCCCTGTAAACACACACACAGGTATCTGATGCAGATGTACAGTTAGGACAGGTATCTCATGAAACCCCTGTAAACACACACACAGGTATCTGATACACATGTACAGTTAGGACAGGTATCTGACGTGAAACCCCTGTAAACACACACACAGGTATCTGATACACATGTACAGATAGGACAGGTATCTCATGAAACCCCTGTAAACACACACACAGGTATCTGATGCAGATGTACAGTTAGGACAGGTATCTCATGAAACCCCTGTAAACACACACACAGGTATCTGATACACATGTACAGTTAGGACAGGTATCTGACGTGAAACCCCTGTAAACACACACACAGGTATCTGATGCAGATGTACAGTTAGGACAGGTATCTGACGTGAAACCCTGTAAACACACACACAGGTATCTGATGCAGATGTACAGTTAGGACAGGTATCTGACGTGAAACCCCTGTAAACACACACACAGGTATCTGATGCAGATGTACAGTTAGGACAGGTATCTGACGTGAAACCCCTGTAAACACACACACAGGTATCTGATGCACAAGTACAGTTAGGACAGGTATCTCATGAAACCCCTGTAAACACACACACAGGTATCTGATGCACATGTACAGTTAGGACAGGTATCTGACGTGAAATCCCTGTAAACACACACACACAGGTATCTGATGCACAAGTACAGTTAGGACAGGTATCTCATGAAACCCCTGTAAACACACACACAGGTATCTGATGCACATGTACAGTTAGGACAGGTATCTGACGTGAAATCCCTGTAAACACACACACAGGTATCTGATGCACAAGTACAGTTAGGACAGGTATCTCATGAAACCCCTGTAAACACACACACAGGTATCTGATGCACATGTACAGTTAGGACAGGTATCTGACGTGAACCCCCTGTAAACACACACACAGGTATCTGATGCACATGTACAGTTAGGACAGGTATCTGACGTGAAACCCCTGTAAACACACACACAGGTATCTGATGCACATGTACAGTTAGGACAGGTATCTCATGAAACCCCTGTAAACACACACACAGGTATCTGATGCACATGTACAGTTAGGACAGGTATCTCATGAAACCCCTGTAAACACACACACAGGTATCTGATGCACATGTACAGTTAGGACAGGTATCTCATGAAACCCCTGTAAACACACACACAGGTATCTGATGCACATGTACAGTTAGGACAGGTATCTGACGTGAACCCCCTGTAAACACACACACAGGTATCTGATGCACATGTACAGTTAGGACAGGTATCTGACGTGAAACCCCTGTAAACACACACACAGGTATCTGATGCACATGTACAGTTAGGACAGGTATCTGACGTGAACCCCCTGTAAACACACACACAGGTATCTGATGCACATGTACAGTTAGGACAGGTATCTCATGAAACCCCTGTAAACACACACACAGGTATCTGATGCACAAGTACAGTTAGGACAGGTATCTCATGAAACCCCTGTAAACACACACACAGGTATCTGATGCACATGTACAGTTAGGACAGGTATCTGACGTGAAACCCCTGTAAACACACACACAGGTATCTGATGCACAAGTACAGTTAGGACAGGTATCTGACGTGAAACCCCTGTAAACACACACACAGGTATCTGATGCACATGTACAGTTAGGACAGGTATCTCATGAAACCCCTGTAAACACACACACAGGTATCTGATGCACATGTACAGTTAGGACAGGTATCTCATGAAACCCCTGTAAACACACACACAGGTATCTGATGATGTACAGTTAGGACAGGTATGTCATGAAACCCCTGTAAACACACACACAGGTATCTGATACACATGTACAGTTAGGACAGGTATCTCATGAAACCCCTTGTAAACACACACACAGGTATCTGATGCAGATGTACAGTTAGGACAGGTATCTGACGTGAAACCCCTGTAAACACACTACAACGTCACACTTTTTACGCTGTACTGAAACCCCTGGAAATAAGTGACTGCCCATTGACCAAGCCAGCTCAGCTTTCCAGGCGGTTCATGTAAAACAGAAGCTCTGACTGACTCCCGACATGTGCAGCTTTGAGCAGGAATCTCTCACTTTGTTTCTGTAGGGAAACGCTCGACATCCATTTCTTATCCGCAATGGGTGCTAAATAGTTGTCGAGTTAGGAAAAGCAGTCTAATTTAGTGATTTCAATTTGATTAACGTGTTACCTACCTTTAAAAATGGTCCTGGTGATGAGATTGTATTTCGAATGTTTCATGTAATTCCCTCATCTGAGCACTAAGTGGAGTTGTAGAGCACATTTTTTTTCTGTCATACATTTTCATCACCTTCATTATCTATGCCTGGAATTGTTGATTATTTTTACTTAAAGCAGAATCTGTAGCTATAAAACATTATAATTTACATTTTATAGTAATTATTGTAGCTTTTATAATAATAATTTGTTACATTTATATAACGCTTTTCTGGGTACTCAAAAGTGCTAGATATGCTAACAAATACAAAAACACTCCTCTATAGGCCTAGCCTACATAGGAGTAAACGTGTTTTTGTGCTACATTCACATTTACCTATTGATCTTACATTAAGCCTATTTAGGCTGCATTTATCTATCTGTATATACACGCACATACATGTTGTGTTTACATGTTTTATGGGGACTTTCTATAAACATAAGGATTTCTACACTGTAGGCTAAACTATCCCTTTACACGAACCCTACCCCTAAACCTACTGTCAGAAAACTGCATTTTTACATTTTCAAAAAACATCACTTAGTACGATTTATAAGCTGTTTTCCCCATGGATTTTAGATATTGCCATCTTTGTTCTCATAGAGTTCAAAGCTAGTCTTTAGCTTTATCATTGTCTTCTCTCAATATTAAAATTGTAATGTATTTGCTGGATGGATAATCAGGAACAGATTCATTTAGCTGAAAAGTTTACGAATTTTGTTTTTGTATTGTTCTATGAAAACAGATAAAGTTATTGATTTATTGATTGATTTAGTGAACTGAACGATTCCATGTGCCTTTGTATTGTTTTTTTTTTATTGTTTTTTGTACTTGGAGCAGTTAGCCATATTTATTAGTTTAATAAATACTTATTCAGCACATGGTCATAGCTATGAAAGATAAAACTATCTTTAATCAATTAAAAACATAAAGCGCTGGCACAATGTGGTGTGAAATTTCATACAGCAACAAAGACTTGCATAAAGAATCCAAAAACTTTCCGGTCCCTTTCCACCCTGTCCCATACTCTTCCAAAGACCAAGATGACAGTTAGATGCACATTAAAAAATCAGTATAACTTGTATAGTGGCATAGTTCACAGTTCAATTCAAGAGCGTGAACATTTTTTCAGAGAGTCGGTCAAACTGTTCATTAAGTCTCTCCCGCAGCTGCAGGAAGAATCCGTTTGCAGCTCTGAAGTTCTCCTTCCTTCTCCACAGCACCTAACCTCACAGATCTAATTGCTGTAGCCAGGGGCTCTTTGACCAAATATGTTGTTTTGTGTTGTGCCCAGCCTTTAATTATCTCTCCTGAATGCAAAACTAAGCCTAATCTGGACTAATGAGAAGTCAAAAAGTGAGCTAAATAGAACTACGGGTGGGAAAAAATAACCCCTGTGGCGCTCCATAGAATACTTCAGTTTGCCCCCACTGTGATTAAATGACAGGCCCCATTAAAGACCATTCTCAACAACTTTCACGCAATATCTCTTACATCTCTTGTTAGCCTGTTTGTATAGTGGCCCTCTTGTTATATTTATCATTTTCACAAAGTTTGAGATGATAGTATGACCGTCCAAAAATGAGAGCAAGAACTGTTTTTGAACTTTAGAAAATGTTTAACCAGTTAGAGGAAACCTCCGCAGTTAATGGAGTCTGGCACGCAGATGCTTATATTGAGATGTTTCAATTGGCTTTTTATTGTTTTAATTAAGATGGAGGTTTACCACAATGGGCTTCCCTTGGTTTGGGGGGGGGGGGGGGGGGGCTTGTCTGTCTAGCCTTTTCTACTTTGAAAAAGCTGGGTTTCCTCTCCAGGCTTTGACTTTGTTCTTCAAACCTCCATTACTTCTTACAGCATCAGGAAGGCAAAAACAAAGAGTGCGAAAAAGCAAGCACACCTAATTCGTCCATACAATAAACCTCTGACCTTGCTGGAAGCACTTGATGAAAACAGACAAAGTTGAGAAACTTGGTCTTTCTCTTTCTGAGAAAGAAAGGTCTTTCTCTCTTTCTCTCCCATTGACACTCCCATACAATGCGTCTTGTCAAACACCTGTCCCCAGCATTGTGGAGAACAACTTGGCAGGCTGATCCAAAGACGGAGATGGGGGTGAGGAGGGTGTGGTAGGCTGGAGGTGTCGAGAGAGTGGCAGGAGTTTGAGAAACTCTCTCTCCACACAGCTTTGCTCTCCGAGTGTGGATAGACATCCAGGAGACAGGCTTGCCAAATTACAGCACTGTGCATCATGGATTTTTCCTTCTTATTTGTAATAAGTGTGGTTGTTTTCATATTGGAGCAACAAGGTAAATGGCTACCATCTTTCTTCGATATAATTCTTTCTGCTTAAATCTTTAGCAATATGAATATTTTCCTATCTAAAAAAATGTCAATTAAAAATGCTAATTCAGTTTACATGATGAGATTTTGTCTAGCACAACATATTGCTGTCAAAACTTCATTGTCAGATTCTCTCTGGTTTGCTCTTTGCAATTTGGATGTATTTTCACATCAAATTTGATATTAAAACGATTTGTTTAGCAACTTTCTAGGATGTTCTAATTGCCGTTGCTCAATAATGTAATGTAATGTTCTAATGTAATTTTGACAAACTATACATCCTTGGAAAGAGTCCTAAATAGATATTTTAACACTGTTTTTTTTTTGTTACAAATTATGTAGGAACAGTAATGGATGTATAAATGACAAGAGCGCACCTCCATAACAGGAGTTCTGACCTTTGTTTTAAAGCCGACATACACTTTTAATAATTGAAACTTTTGTTTTCATGCTATAGGTTTATGCATAATAAAACATAATCTAATTTTTGTCAATAAAATAATATTATCCTTTAAAATATAATCTTATCTTTTTATCGCCTTTTTTATTACATCACTTATTTTAGCAGTTAAATTAGGTATCATTTGAAAGCTTGCAAACCGTTTTGAAATTGGCGTTGCGTTACCATAGAAATGGTACTCTAAATTATTTTATCAGGCTCCTCCCCTTTTGGGCGTCATCATGTTTCATAATCCATGATCAAAACCTTTTCTAATCTTTCTAGTCTGAGTCTTGAGGTTCCATATTTTGTGATAGAAGTGATATTTGGACAGAAAGTTATTTGTAACGGCAGAATTCATACAATTAAATTCAATGAAACGTAAGTCGCCTGGTGGCTATTTTTGGTATTACGCCTTAACAAAATCTCATGGGAACTTCAATATTGTCAAATAAACTTCAAATTTGGAACAGAACTTGGTTAGACATATGGCTTTGATTTTATAGTAATTTTATAGTAAAAATATTTTGTAAAATATATATTTTATATAAAAGAAAATATAAATATATAAATTCAAACTTTTTCATACTTTCATTTTTTGAAGTGCGTTCGCTTCAGCAATAATCTGCTGAGTGTTTTTTTAAACACGACACAACTCTATATTCCAAAGCATTCTTGAATTACAACCATTTCAATTTGAATAGTGCATTTTAATGTCCATTCTCAAAAAATGGGGCGACAGTTAAAGGGTTAAAGAAAAAAGGGGTAAAGGGACAGTTCACCCAAAAATAAGATTTCTGTCATCATTTACTCACCTTCATGTCATTCCAAAACTGACATTAGAACATTTTAAGAAATGATTTGGTTACCAGCATTCTTCAAAATATCTACTTTTGTGTTTCCTACAGAAGACAAAGCCATACATATTTCAACTTAAATGATAGATTTTTTTTCTTCAACTCTTATTGTCTAATGGTCAGCTTTTAGATGTAGATTTCGATTATCAAATGTCTTTGCTTTTATAACACCAGTCAAAGTGTAAAACATTGAACGGATGAATTAGGGTTAAATGTGGCGTAAAATGCTTCGTAATCCGTCTGGTTTGAGCATAGGGTGTAAACTCCCCATGTGTAGGCCATCTCCTACCACTTCTATGGACCACAGAGCATAACTTCTCTCATGGTGGAGCAAAAGAAATGAGAGTTTGCCTCAGAAAGGTCAGGAGGAAATAAGGCTTTTGCACGGTGGGCTTTGCTTTAATAGCATGCAGAGTTCATAACCAGTGCAAGTTATCACTGTAAACATTAGTTTAAGCAATGATACATTTCAGAAATTTTGATTGTGAACATTTTGATATTTTGAATCAATTAACATGGTTGCAGGTTGGCTTACATTTTTTTCAGAACCAAGTTTATTGTTGAGCTCTTTAGTTTCAGCTTTGGATGTATGCAGTGCAAAATACTGGGATAATATACTTTACATTGTGGTTAATTGCTGAAACTTCAGAGCTACGTTCCTCCGAAGTTTTGAATTTCAAGGCTGGTCTCACACAGTTTGGAAATAATCACAGCTTTTCGTTTTAATAACAGCAGTCAAACTATTTTATCAGTATCTTATTGTTAACAACAGAAAAGCTTTTGCTGCTTCTTCATGGCTGAGAGGGTCTGGTTTAACTGGTGGTTATGGATTTATGTAATCTCTCGTCTGTCCTTTACAATTCTACACTGATCCAACTTGGCAGTCATCTCTCTCTTCAGGGCACGGGTCATAAAATTAATTTTTTTTGGTAAAATATTACTGGGATAAAGAAAACTTTTCCTTATTGTCTTTCTCACGATTAAGGGTAGGATGGTATAAAGTCAGTTGTATGTGAATTATGTTAGGCATTTTTAGCAGATGTTCCAATGGATTTGTAACAAAATCCAAGCTCTAAATCTAAGCTCCTTGTATTCAGTATCCTTACCTGTTATATGGAAACTAGCCCAAATGCTTCACTGGGAAACCTCAACTGACCCCTTGAGGACATGGATGACAACTGATTTCCTGCATCAAAACAGTCAGTCAGACCATTGTTGGGTATTCCACATCAAACTTATATAGTTAGACCCCCACAGCTTTGTGATAGTGATGGATTACTGCAGTGATCACTCCCAGATCGCTTACCACAAGACCGGGGCATGCAATTTCATCCGTTTCTATAAGGTCTTAAAGCCTTAGGCTCTGTTCACCTGATTGAGTACCTTAGATGTCATTCGGGTTACTGAGGTCCAACTAAAACACCTCTTCCATGTTCCAAATGTCACCACTGCTGAGCCTTCAAGAGAGCGAGACCTCCTGCAGCCTCCACTCCATCTATCTTACTTCATAAAAAGAAATTATTCTCTACTAGGGGTGTAACAATATATCATGTCATAATATATCACAATACAAAAATGAAACAATATGTATTGTGTAAATAAATTTTTTTTTTCTAAAATGTAAATAAAAATTACTATGCGAGAAGAAATTCACGTTTTCAGAGTCAGTGTTGTAGTACTCGAGACTCGGACTCGTCTCGGACTCGGTCTCGAGACCATATTTTAATGGTCTTGGTCTTGTCATGGACTCGTGTCCATTTGGACTCGGAATTGACTCGTACTCGAACCTTTTTTTTTAGGACTCGGAATTATTCCCGAGTCCACTCGAGTTCAATTAAAAATATTTTTCATGATTATTAATGTATGTTAATAAAATATTTATTTAAATTGATTGACACGCCCAGTGATTGGTGATTTTCTAGTGCACAACTGCGCATGACAAATTGTCATAAAATTACTTTTAACACCACCTACTATGTGGCCTTTTTACCCTAAACTGATCATATTTTTTAAACTCTAAGTAAATTCAGTAAAAAATAAATAAATAAAGGATTTCTCTAAGTAAATAAAAGTAAATTAGGTAATCAACCCTCACTGGTCTCGGTCTCGACTCGGACTCGACCGTCTCTAGTCTCGGACTCGACTCTCTATGGACTCGGTCTTGACTCGGATTCGACTCTCTCTGGTCTCGGTGTCGACTCGGACTCGAGTGAGGTGGTCTCGACTACAACACTGTTCAGAGTTATAGTGTCAGTGCTACATTAAACTACTATATAATGTTGAATACAATGTATAATAATGCAATGGGGAAATGATTGTTACTTATATTGTTATTGTCTTTCCCCAGCAAACAAATTTAGGTTCCCAGATTGTTCCTAGAACTTTCCCTTAAGGTTAAGGAAACGTTCCCGGAACATTCTCCTTACGTTATAAATATGGAACCTAAAAATAACCTACATGGAACGTTCCTACGTTCTAGTTTCTTGCGAAGTATCGCAATAATATTGTATCGTGAGTTCAGCATCATGATGTGTATCGAACCGCGACATGAGGATATTGATGCACCCCTATCCTCTAACTTTCCTGGCAATCAAATGTACCATGGTATTATTTCAAGTAGCTACTTTGATGTTTCATGTATACATTTCTTGTTCCTTTGCATTTACTTTGAGGTTTGTTTTTCTGTTAAAAAGTTACCATGTCGCCGATGAACAAGAGATCTGTTTTTGATTCGACTTTTAAAACCCCAACCATCGGAAGCTGTAGTGGTGGTTTGCTTTGTACCATCTACATGCGCTGCTGGAATCCTAGAGGCATTAAATGTGGTTGGCCACAGATTCGTATTTACTGTCTTCTTTAAACACGGTCCACATGGGCCACTTGGCTTTTCATTTCCCACAACCTTAATGAAGTTCATGCAACCTAAGCCATTTTGTTTGTAGGTTTCCTTTTTATTGTGTAACATTATTTTAGTATTATTTTTTACTGAGATTGCGTGGAAATTCACTTCTGAACTGATAACCTATTAGATCATAGTTACATGAAAACTGGATCCGAGAATCCTCCATTAAAGGCCTAAAACAAAGAGGACCTCGGAGACACAACATTGCTGAAATGTTTAGACAGCAGCAAGAGCTTAGACATGTTATGTCTTACATGGCCAAGCGGAGATGCCGCACTGACTAATATTTTGACACATTTTTAGGTTTTGTCTCAAGCGTAACACATCAAAGCAAAACAAAACAAATCATAGGCTAGGGGAAATAGGGAAATATTTGCTAGAAATCCATGACTTAACTCTGATTCAGCATTCTGAAGGCTGTATTTGATAGTCTTGCCTCATTTTTTTACAGCATCTATTTATTAAAAAATACAGTAAAAAAATATATATATTTTGATGTGAATATATTTTAAAATCTATTGATTTGTGTGATATCTTGTAGTGTTCTTCAGAAATCATTATAATATGCTGATTTGTTGTTCAAGAGTCATTTCTAACCATTATCAATATTAAAAACAGTTTTTGTGGAAACTGAATAGAAAGAACGTCTCAGGTTACGACTGTAACCTATGTTCCCTGAGAACAGGGAATGAGACAATACGTCGAATGACGCAATGGGGAACGCCATTGCGTCATTCGACGTATTGTTGAGTTCCCTTCGAAAGGGAACGTCCCAGGTTACGACTGTAACCTATGTTCCCTGAGAACAGGGAATGAGACAATACGTCGAATGACGCAATGGGGAACGCCATTGCGTCATTCGACGTATTGTTGAGTTCCCTTCGAAAGGGAACGTCTCAGGTTACGACTGTAACCTATGTTCCCTGAGAACAGGGAACGAGACAATACGTCGAATGACGCAATGGCGTTCCCCATTGCGTCATTCGACGTATTGTTGAGTTCCCTTCGAAAGGGAACTGGAATAGAAGTATTTTGTAACATTTCTTTCCTGATTTTGATTGTTTCTTTTGTCACTGTACCTGTTGTTTAAACTTTGTATTTGTTCAGTCCCAGGGTCGCGTGCCAACATTAGTCCAACTGTGAATGTTCCTCCAGAAATTCACCATCGCGAGAGACGCTGCTCCTGTGAAAACCTGAAGGACAAAGAATGCGTGTACTTTTGCCACATAGGAATCGTCTGGGTCGATACACCCAGGTACATCATCCAAACATTGATCTGTCTGTTTCTGTGTTTCAATAGAGATCTCTTTGAGCAATACAAAAAATAGAGAGAAATGGAGGTTGAAATCTGTGGGGGACTGAAGCTGGAAACCTGTACACTGAAAGCACGTGTCTGGTTGTATTTAAGTGTGTGGTCTCATTAATGTGGCCCACGCATGGAGACCCGAGGACAGGCAGACTGCCTTTGGTGAAAAACAACCAAGAAACTAAAGATTGAGGGTCTGGCTCTCGGGAAGTGATTTTAGAGTGAAAACTCAAAGCATGTTTGAATGTTATCATCAAAAACCTTAATTTCTTTTCGACTGAAGAAAGAATGACATGGATATCTTGGATGACATGGGTGTGATTAAATTATCAGCAAAAGTTTTTAAAAAAGTGAACCACCTCTTTAATCTACCCAATACCTGAACTTAAAGGGACAGTTCACCCAAAAATGAAAATTGTGTCATCGTTTACTCACCATCATGTCGTACCAAATCTGTATGAGTTTCTTTCTTCTGTTGAACGCAAAAGCAGATATTTTGAAGAATGTTGGTAACCAGATATCAACATCAGTCCATCAACGATCTTACCAACATTCTTCAAAATATCGTATGTTTGAAACAACATGTTGAGTAAAGGATGACAAAATTTTTATTTTTGTGTGAACCATCCCTTTAACAACTACCTTACTAACTATTAATAAGCAGTGATAAGGAGTTTATTAAGGCAAAAGTCATAGTTAATTGTGAGTTAATAGTGAGAATTGGACCCTAATCTAAAGTGTGACCAAGTTTTTTTTTTCCAGTAATTTATTACATTAGATTTTTTTTTTTAAATAATCACATTAAATGTTGATATGTTTGGAATGCACTTAAAAATATCAGCTGTTCTCTTTCAGTCAGGTCATTCCCTATGGTGTAGGTTCACTCCAAATGCGGCTAAGAAGAGATATGGAACGATGCCAATGCGCACATAGAAGAGACACAAAATGTGTGCGGTTTTGCTCTTACTTGGATCTCCAGCTAAAGTTAGTGTCATAATTAAAATATTACACACATTACGGGAGTTGCATTGCATTTTACAGATGCCTGACTCTGTATCTTTTTCAGAGATGAAAATTCCTCAGTCAAAAGTTATCATCCCAGAAACTACAAAGAACGATACAAGTCTAGATTCTCCAAGAGACAGAGGAGGCACAATCCAATAGAAACCTGAGAGGACACAACTTGTATATTATTACTATTTGGGAAGCAAGCCTGGCCGTATATCTGAATATGTGTGCTGTGAATGGTTTGCAAAGTATAGTATTATACATATTGGGCTTGTCATGAAATGCTAGCATCTCAATAGTGAACAGTGACAGTGAATAGGAGTGATATATTATCTAAATGTCAGTATTTTGCAAAATACTGTAAAACCGGATTGCTTCTAATTGACGTGTAACATACTAAATCATCTGATGTTTCCAATTGAATACATTTTGAATATTTATTAAGGGCAACAGTGGTTTGTGGGCACTTTAGGTTTGACATTAAACATACGTTTTTTATTGGGTAAAGATCACTCTGTCATTCAAGGTTCAGAGTTTTAATATCATGTCTAGCTTTCTGTAAATTAAATTGTGGATGTTTGTTTATGAATAATAAAAAATGCCTGTGTATATGTACAGAACTAGGACAAGCAGTTCACATTTATCAGTGGATATACAGTTTGATTTTTCAATCAATTTGTAATCTAATGAATGAGCTGAATATTTATTGTAATGTGAAAAGGCAAATAATAAAAACCTAAAACCCAGTCATTGGTGAAATGCACATAGACCATCTTTCTTGATGGAATACGGCTGTGGTATCTATTTTTGTTTTTTGTCACTACTTTGCAATGACATGAAAATTGCTTATTAACGTACTTACAATGAAAGTTGTATTGCATAACAAGGTTATGTACACAGAAAAGGTAGACAGTTAAGCAGAAAATAACTTCAGAAAGGTATACTGTAGTGTGAGAGAAACGGATAAAACTGTCAACATGGCCGGAGATCAAACAGGGAGAGGGTAATGGCAAAGCTAAATGTTTCCACAGTGCTAGAGGCTAGCAATTTTCTGAATAACTGCACTCGCTCTTTCTTTTCCTGTTGTTGTTTTCCATGAAGTGGTGTAAAGCCTTTTTGGTGTAAACCGATATTGTGATCACTGAGTGATCACATATTGAGGGATTTACCATTAAGGTGAATAGCGTAGTAGTGCCTGACTCTTTATATGAGGATGGCTACTTATCTCCATTCATTTTTGGCATCATCAGGAATGCTGGTTTACCTCACAGGAAGGCTTTCACAAGAAACTTCTGGAAGGAATTTGTGGTGCTCTCATTTACTACCGGGACAAAGGAACAAACACACTCTATTCCTGTCCCCCTGTTACAGTCAGACGCATTGAGCCGCAGCCACTAACCACCCTGTTAGGTTCTGGGAAACACCCTGACAAAACCCAACAAATGATTAAAAGTGAGCTAAAAACAGATGATTAAGATTATCAAGATATGATGGTATCGCATAAGCCAAAATGTCTCAATTTTCACCATGATCTCTAATTAGGCAACCTATTTAATATTGATTAGTTGGGAATTTAAATGTAATGTGAATACTTAATATTAAACAATCAGTATATCGTTTTACATAACTTGCTCTATATCCATATTATTTACTGTGTTATATCTCAGATAACAAAAATATGTTCTAAAAAGGTTTTTTTTTTTCCTATTAAAGGGATAGTTCACTTTGAAATTAGTTTTTGATATGTTTTAGCTTACCTCAAGGGCATCCAAGATGTAGGTGTCTTTGTTTCCACAGTATTTTCAATTTTGATATTTTTAGGTCAAACCGTTCTTGTCTGTCAGTCACATAATGGAGGTCTATGGTCACCACCTCAAAGAGCATGCACAGAGAAGTCCAAATTAAACATGATTTAATGACTCGTAAATGTAAGCACACATTGATGGCCAACATGAAACGAGCGGTTTGTGTGAATAAACAAACAGTATTAAATATTGTTTTTACCTCTTGTAACCACAGCCACGTCCAAGTGATAAGCGTCCAAGCGCCGGAAAGAGGTGAATCATTCCCTTCCGAAACGTGCAGAGGCGGAGAGTGTGAGTGAGCTGTCCATGAGCTAGGAGCAGGAGAAACTTTTGCTAGGTATTCTGATTAATTATTTTGTCATTTTGCCTCCACACGTTTCCTCGATTGCCCGCGAGCTTCTCCTCCTGTCCATACGGTAATCTCTCTACGCGTGCGACAGAGTCACGTGGTTATGACGCAATCGTTAGCCTACTTTTACAAAAAAACTGCTTCTATGGGGCCAAAACATATAAACTACAAGGTAATGGAGCATTTTATACATTGTAGTGTTTCTTTAGAAATAAATAATGGACAAATGGAGTCTTCAAACGCCTCAGATGTAAAGTTATTCGCTGTCAAAGTGAGTCAATGGAAATGCTAACTCAAGAGAAGTTCTGCTACAAGATGGCGGTACCCGGCTTCAACTTCCAGTCGATGGATTACCCCCTTGGATGATATATCGAAGTCGTCTTCCATTGTGATTTCCTGTATATCTAAATATGTTTAGATCTTCACAGTGAAAGGTAAGACTTCCGAAATTTCTGTGTAAACAACGAGTGGCGTACGAGCGCGAGAGATTACTTCCGGAGCTTTCCGGCGCCTTAACATTTTGAAACAGCGTCCAACTAAAACATTTCGAAAAAATAATAAAAATAATAAAAAAATATTCTATGCATGATGTATAAAAAAAGTTTTGTGGTTTGAGAACAGTATTAAAACAATGAACAAACGTCCTATTACAGTTACTTTTCACCATAAGCAGACAAATATGTTACTGGTCGTCAAGCAAATAAGACAGACACAATCTGGTTTAAGTGCATTTAATATGCAAGATGTCACATTTTCATAAAACATCCATAGCCACTATACTAATGATGATCTACACTGATGACCAGAGCAAACTGAACAGCCCTTGGTAAATGTTTCCTGCTGTTGACATTTTCTTCACTTAAGCATATAAATCTCTTAAAAGCGTTTAAAATAAATACCAAGTCGAAACACCAATGCCATTAAACTACAGCAATAGGAAGATCTGAACATGTTAGATTTGGCGTATAGCTGTTGTCTTCCATTCCATTGTCAAATAGCAGAAGACTGATCTTGCTGTCCTGCCCTTCTATTAGAGTAGTGTCATGTAACTGTATGCACTGTAACTATTGTTCACACTGTAAAAAAACAACATTTTCTATGACATGTTAATCAGTAGTAGATCATGTAAAGACAGAGATCATTTAAATAATGACAAAATAAAGGTATTAAAGGTTCACTAATTTACAGCGAAAATGTTCTTTATCTGCTTAAACCAAGGCAAAATTCACAAGCATTAAAATTCAAGCTCCAACCATTCATGTTCTTTAAGTCCCGAATAGAGGAACTAGCTCCTCCTCATGTTTTTAAGTCTTTGGTCGTGAAATGGTCCCATTTTGTATGCCGCAGCAAGCATTTATGGATTTATATATACAAGAAAACAAAGTAATGTGCAAAAAAAAAGTATGCAAAACAAAAATTAGAAAAAGCACAAACAGTAAAATATATTATGATTATTTACAGATCACATAGTCAGTATAAGCTGAATATCACAGTATGTAAAATCCACACTTTCATAGCTTGCCCTCTCTACAGGGTTATGTTTCTCTACTCCAGTTGGGGAGGGTTAACTCAATAAGCACTGTAGCGTATAAACATGATCCTGCCTTTCCACACAAGGTAAGTCTGGGACACAGGACGGCTCCATCTCAGCCTCCTCTCCCTAGAATTTAGTGCTATTGCTAAAGCTGTCTGACATGATGATGTTTTTGTAGAAGTTGTCCGAGCGTACGGAGCAGTAGCCCTTTACCTTGTCCAAGACCTGGTGCACGGGGAGGATGGACGAGGAAGCCTCTCCGTCGGAAGGGCTGCATTTGGGACTGCTCTGATTGGAGAAGCTTTTACCTGCAAATATGCCACAATGGTTGACTAAAGGACTGTGTGAATAGACTTCTAAAAGTAGTGAGCAATCCAGTATTGATGCCAAAGTATCCATACAATATGAAGATTACAACTGGCACCCGATGCAAACTATTTTCCTACATGTTCGCTGCGTCAAAAGAAAGCAGAACTACTTTGACAGTTGGATCATATTAGTTTCCAATTCATTCAACTAATGGTGAGTTATTAATTGTCCATGCCATTCTGTTGATGTTCCATGCCGTTGTGCATTCTTGGGCAAAAACATTCCAACACACATGCACCTTCAGTCCACTTCAATAACGATACAGAACAATATTGCTTAAGCTTTTCTTTGCAATGATTCCTTAGCCTCTGTCCTATTATGAGGGGATTCGGGACTACAGAAAGGTATTGACCTATAGAACTAAATTACAGAATAACAAAAACTGGAGAAACATATCATGCTCATGTACTATGGTAGAAAAGTCATTAATTGATAATGAGGTCATTTAGATAGCTAATTCTAATATACAATATAATAGCAAAGATTATTTCACAATTCACATATTGTGTCATACTAGCAAAATGTAACAAATGAACAAAGCAACAGCAACAAAAAATCAGTCAAATAAATCTGTATTTAAATTTGTGTAGTAATTGTTCTTTTCAACTAGAACTAGTCCTTCCTCCGCCTGATGAGATTTTTACTTCGCTATAAGGTGCAAAAATAAAACAGCAAAAAGGGAAAATTAGACATTTTAAAGGTACACTATGTAACTTTTTTTTGTTCAAAATGAACACAATTTCAATAACGAGTCAATACATCATCTATCCTTCTAAAATGGGTTTTTGTCTTACCCTGATATGGTAAGCCTATTATATGTGTTTATATTTTAGACCTTTTGGGATGGGAAACTGCATATATGTGTCACTCGCCTGTGCTTGTCTTGTCAAATCCGTAATTAGAGGAAAGTTGCTCTGTCTACTGTGGGAATGGAGTTGTCACAACGAGTAAAAGAGGTTGACATGGAACAGCTAAACCTCCAAACTCCGTAAAATCACCCATTTTAAACAAGCGCGGAATAGAGGATAGTCAAAAAGAGAACGCGACAGAGCTTGTCATAAAACAAGAATCAACATTGGCTTGACTTTTCAGAGAACTGAGGGATTTGGAGATGCCGTTTTTATTACTCAACAGGTGAGTACGGTATTTTATTAAAAAGTGAAATCGCCATATGTAGCTCTCTCACAGAGTTTATTGTATTACATTATCTATTGTGAAGAGTCATTTCATTATGGTTGTTGTAGAGCTGTGCTGGAATTGATTTGCTGGAAGGTAGTTCGGTGTCGGTCAATGGGAATAGCTACAGTAACGTCTTGTTGGATCTTTTAAGCCTAGTAGTGAATGTTTTATGAGCAGTAGGATAACCATATTCATCCAAACAGTCAAGCAGAGTCGAAGCACAACCAAAACAGTTTCGTTTTTAACCGCAAGATGGCCAAAAGTTACATGGTGTACTTTTAATTAAATAGTCAGTTAAATGGTCCGTTATATTAATGTTAAGGAAAAATCTATACAGTGTACATTACAATAACTTAAAATACATAATTACACAGAATGAGCTTGTGAAGAATGTATTCTTAGATAAATAATGCAATTTCAGTGTCATAACAGAATTATTTTCATCTTAGCATGTATGCAAATATAGCAAGTCTATACCTCCTAAACCCTAAATGTCTCAATATTTTACAATGACATAAACTCTACTGTGCATAACAGTACAATTACATATGCCAAAGTAATGGACAGTACCAATTACACAAAGTATAAATCGTATCTATAATGTTTAAATTTCTGATGTTAAGTGCATTAGTGGTGCTATACAGCAAGTGCATATTATCTATCCCAGGGCTCAGCATTAAAGCTTGTCCGCTTGTCCAAGACAAGTGTATTTTTTTTAAAACTTCTGCATGACAAGCGTGTAGAGTGATCCTGCTGTAGGCATGAAGTTCTACTTTTAATGGTTTTATATATTTTAGTTTCAGCAGTGCAAGTTGGGTATTTTCTCCTGTGTGGACATTAACACTGCCAAACGAAAAGAAAAAGAACAAAACAATGGAGACAAATCAAAACAGGCAACCGTGAGAAAAATTAGTGTCAAACAGAGTGCAAATGACATTCAGAACTCCTAAAAGACACTAAAGGTTGTTAATGTCTACTGAAAGTTTGGGTGGGAATCAAGTCTATAACTGCTTTATAATCATTTATTCAGCATTGAAGTGTTTCCTTGTATTGCACCTTCATAAGCTATACTAATGACAATGACAACCAGCAGCAGTGTACTTTCAAGTTCTTGAATGTCACTCCACAACTTGGATTCAATCCAACAGGCAACTATTTCATCATAAAACATCACAACAGATGCCTAACGTTTTTTTTTTTTTAAATGTAATGTCATATGACGGACTGTTTTGGAGGGCCAAAAGCATTTATGTGTTAGGAGTGAGTTAGACTAGGAATTATGTCTAGGGCCGCTGGATTGAATTCAGTCTATCCCAAAAGGGGAAGCTGATCACATGAATAGAGAAAAGCAGTGTGAACTCAAACTGGCTTGTGTGGTTTTACCTCAGGAAGTCTCTCCATGGCATTATTGCAGGGTACTATCTATACCACAAACATAAATACAGACACACCACTGAGTCCAGGCTACAGTCACACAAAAAGCAACACAGTAGAGCAAAGTACAAAATAACACAAGGCATGAAGGGCAAATAGTCAACCATTTTACATCTTGGCAATATATTACTGAGAGCATACCAACAAAACATGTTTAAGCCCTTTCTTTAAAATGAAATAACAGTTTTATGTTGCTTACTGCAACACCAACTGTGACCTAAGCAATCAATCCACATCATGATTTGTATGCTCACCTGCATTACTGTGCCTGGCAAAGGGGTTTAGTGTGGCTTTGGCTTTAGACGTCCAGTTGGCTGTAGTGGAGCCAAAGGAACTGGAGGAGAGGGACTTTCCCAGGTTATCAGAACTCACTTTCTTGGTATTATTAGTGGCAGTCTTGCTCCAGTCTGCAAAACATGGTTTAATGTTATCTATAACTACCAGTTAACTTTCGTCACTCAGGTGCATTCCATGCATACAGACACAGCGAAAGAAAACACGCAAGTTAAATCTGGCAAATCCATCATTATAAATACAGGGCTGGCGTGGGACTGGCATTTGAAAACAGCACTGTTTAGCTTCACATCTTATTTGATCAGATTTAACTGGAAGTAAAGTCCAGCTAAGTTCTCTCTGGTCCTAAATTTTAATAATAATAGTTCTTAAAGAAAGTCCCAAAAGCTGAGCTTTAGAGAAACAAACATTCTAATAGTGCAACAAAAGTCTCAGGATTCAGCACCTAAAGATGTAGTCACAGAACAGGCAATATCCAAAATGCCTGGGGAAAAAAGTATAAGAATCACTGCCATAATGCATGTGTTTAAAAAGAAAAAGTCTGCAAGAATGCAACAGGTGAGGGTAACATTACACAACTTCCAGCATTCAAACAGATAATAGGCCTATAGCTAGCTAACGTTATATGTTTTTTTTTCTCACGTATTTTTATTAATTATATGTGTGATTATGACATATAGTAGCTGACAAAACTTCTTGAGAAAAAAATAATATTTAAAAAAATATAGTAAGTAAGTTAGGTACCAACTAAATTTACCTGAATTATCTGCCAAGCGGAACTTTCCACAGCACAAATATCTCCTCCATTGCTTTTGTACATTTTCTTTCAGGGCACAGTGGAACACAAATATGAATAATCCTGTTGAAAATAAATGAATAAAATAAACAATGCTTCATAATTTTTACAAACCGTAAACTATTTTCAAGCTATTCCACACTTAATACCAAAAGCGACCCCTAGCGGAGCAGATAGAGAATTACAGATATCTCTTCACTATGATCACCAGGCCGAAATAGCTCAGTTGGGAGAGCGTTAGACTGAAGATCTAAAGGTCCCTGGTTCGATCCCGGGTTTCGGCAGAGTATATTCGGTTCGAATAACTTTTTAATGTCAATAATAGCATATTAAAAGTCATTTTTATGTTTTTTATGTTTCATTTTATGTTGAACAAAACCAAGTAATTGCTATGATATAAATAAAACACTTGGTTAATCTTTGTGATGTTAACCTCCTCAGCTGACATAGACGTCTGACAGATTCCCTCATCACTAACAACTGCTATAGCAAGGTTCTGTGAACAAGTTTCAGCTTTTATTTTCCTTTTACACCCCAAAGAAGATATCACGGTCTAATTTTACGTTAAAATTATCCATCCTCGATCACTTTTAGACAGCTTTGACTCTCAGCTAGTGCATCTTTTCAAAATGACTAACAGCCTTATCACCTGACCTGAATACTGCACGCTGATTTGCTAAAACGGACTAATCGGGTTGTGTTCACAAATGACAAGGGTGCTTGTCGGTTTCTGTTGTAAAACATGAACTCGCGATGCCTTGACAGTGGACAATACCGGCTTTTGTGACAAAACGTGTTTAGGGTTCAGTCAATCTTGTCAGGCATCTATTTCAGCTAAGAAAATTAATGCTCTCAGTAAATAATAATAAAACATATTTTTATGTATAAATAGGAAACATGTCAACAGCCCAGCATCAAGTGTCTTTAAATATACAGGATAATGAAAATGGTGTAAGTATAAACCAACCTTGTAGGGAGTTGAAAATGGAGAAGAGGTACATGAAGGCCAGGCTGACCGGACCCCAGGCGAAGAAAGCAAAGCCCCAGGTCATGCCCAGCAAGAACGTCAGGCTGACCACACTTCGCATGTTACGCAAGATCTCCTCTCGGAGTGTTCGGTTGCTGCGCTTGCCATTACGCCCGCAGATCTGGATCATGACCACGATGAACATGGCAACATTCATCAGGAAGATCATGGAAAAGTAGCCCACGCACGTCACGTAGAATACCACTGGATTATGAATCCAACAGCTACAGAAAGAAAGACCGGGAAAACCAACAGAAAAAGAAAGTAAAAGACCATTCCAACAGAAATTCATTCTTTCTGAAGAATGTGAACTACACAGATCTGTAGCATTCAACTTTCACATATGACCTTTTAAAAATTAAAAATGGCCTGTTTGAATTTGTTGGGCCAAACTTACAATTCTGATGTGCCCTGTCCATTCTCTCCTTTTCCATAATAGTTTTTTCCATAAGAATCTTTGCTCACAGCCAACACAATTCCAACAATTGCTGCAGGGACACCTGAAAACACAGTCAGATCTTCTCACTGCTTAATATGTTCAAAGCTCCTTCACAGGGATCTCATGTTATATTGAACATTGGCAAATAACTAGCAAAAAGTCTACGACGAACTTACCCCATCCCACAATGCAAAACTTGAGGATGTATCGCCGTATGTAGGTGTTGAAGACCTTGACCAGGGCAATGTACATGTGGATGGACTCTAAGCCCATCCAGGTGAAGGAAGTGAGAAGAAAAAAGTGCAGGAAAACAGCCACTGCCACACACAATCCCTCAATGTCGTATGAAGCCAACCAGCCATCCAGAAGAAACACCATGTTGAGGAAGAGCAGTGACGTGCTGAGATTCATCAGGATCTTGGAAGGATAGTCTCGCCGCAGCTTCCTACAGATTTAATTCAAAGAAAACAATGAGTCTTTGCACCTTCAGCCATTTACACTACCGTTTCAAAGTTTGGGGTCTAAAGATTTGTTAAAGTCTCTGATGCAGTCTATTCATTTAATTGATCAAAATACAGTAAAAGGAACAATATTCTGAAATATTATTGCGATTTAAAATAACTGTCATCTTCTTACATATATTAAAATGTAATTTATTCCTGTGATGGCAAAGCTTTATTTTCAGCGTCATTGCTCCAGTGTCATTCTTTAGAAATCATTCTGAAATGCTGATTCGGTGCTTTAGAAACACTTCTTATTATCTATAATGTTGAAAACAGTTGATTTGGTTATTTAAAAAAAATGGAAACAGTGATACCTTTTATTTGATAGCATAGATAGAATTTTTTTGTAACAATGTTAAAGTCTTTACTGTCACTTTTGATCAATTTAATACTTCCTTACTAAATAAAATTATAATTATTATAATTAAATACGAGCAACAAACAGTCTAATTGTATGCTACATTATTAGGGCTTGAAGAGTAGAGAGTAGCTTAAACTGGGTGAGGTCATGAAGACATTCTTTGAGAAAACATCAGAATTTTAATAGCTGTTATTGGATAGTCAAATGTGACAGGCAATGTGTTCACATAGATGAGTCGTTAAAAACACGCTGCTCACTCAAAAGCGATGTACGTGAGCACCGTTGCTGCTGAAAAAATGGCTGAGATGCCACAGCCGATGTAGGTAATGAAGGTAAGAACCCTGTTGTTCTTCTCATCTATCTGCGCAGCAGCTCCAGAGATGTCCTAAAAGGCAAAAGTGAGGCAAAGTTAATCAATAATGATCAACATCAGAGATGTATGTGTCTCATTAGTATTTAAATATGCTGAATTATGAAAAAAACATCCATAGATATGAGGAATGCAAGTTTTACATGAAAAAATTAAAGGAATAGTTCCCGACGTATGACGTAGGCATAGCGTAAGCTTATTTGAGAATTGATGACTGCAGAAGCATAGAAGATAGAGCAAAACAAAACGCTGAATGAATTAAAAGTCTAAAATGTGTAGTTTTAAAGAAAAATGTTGGATGATTTCGATATGAGAGACTCTTTCGTGAACCCGCGTATGGCCGTTCCCGGAAGCCAGTGATAATAGTTTATACAGTTTTAAATACGGATATTTTTCATATAAAAACCCATCGCTTCGCTTCAGAAGGCCCATTGCTTGATATGGTGCTTTTTGGAGCTTTAAAAACACTGACACTATTCAATGCCATTACAAAGCTGGGAAAAGCCATGATATGATTTAATATAACTTTGTGTGCTGAAAGAAGAAAGTTATAAACACCTAGGATGGCTTAAGGGTGAGTAAACTATGGGACCAATTACATTTTTGGGTGAACTATTCCTTTAATAGTACAAAAAGCTTAACTTTTGATCATGAAATAAATAAATCATGCCTAGCTGTGAATAGGGCTGTCAAAATTGCTCAAAAATTACGTTCGAATATTCCCTCGAAAAAAACATGCGAATATTCGAACTATTCGAATATCTGTTTGCGCATTTTTTCAGTGACGCGCATTACGTCATTAACAGGACGAATTAATACAAAGAGGCATAACTACTTGTATATGTACTTTATTTAATTTTAAACATATTTAATAACGTATTACCTACACAAAAAAGTACAACAAAGTAATGGGCAAGACTGCAAACCTCACGCTCCAACGCAATAGGCATATCTAATTAGTTAGCCTACAGGCTGTTTCTGTTTAAAGTTAAATAAAATGAGGCACACAATTCCGAGAAATGTGACAACGCCTTTACCCTGAGGTTCATAAAAAATAAAGAACTATTAAAAACGAAAAAGGCTACTTACATTCTTGGTGCTTGAATAAAAAAAAGAAGAAAAAAAAACTGACGGCAATTTATTCCGTTGTCTTTTTAGTGCGCACTGTCACCGTCGGGTCTACAGGTTATTTGCCAAAAACACAAGACAGTCCACATTTGAAGGGGCCAGTGCTGATTTCTTATTATTTACTATATTCCCAGCGGAGGAAAAAACGCGTTCAGAGCGCACTGAGGATCCGGGGATGAAAAGATATTTCTTTGCCATCTGGGCGATGTGAGGGTATCTATCTCCCAGAGCCCAAAGTTTTCCACCACATGAGAGGATTTTGTTGAGCAGGTACTGGAGACTCTTGTTCATACATTAACATCTCTTTTTGAAGCAGCAAATTGATGTCCTGGTCTGGGTTGTCCGCGCAATACGTGTCTCCGAAGAGACCATAGCAGATAACGCAGTTTTCTCAGCGGGCTGCCGATCACGTGTCTGTCCGGCAGCGGCCTCACTCATTTTGGGGGGTTAAAATCACTTTCTCTGCTGCGGTCGAGTTGGGCTCTGCACTTTCTGCAGTGAGTGACGCTGTGCCAGTGCGACACCTGTCTCTGAACCCTAATCAGGCAGCGTGCACGGCCACTCGCAAAACAGACAGCCGCGCCTTTGCTTGCGCGGGCGTTTTTTTTTTTAATTCGAATATTAATTTTCACCTTCGAATTTCTGTTTTTTAAAACTATTCGAATATATATTCGAATTTAGAATATTCGTTGACAGCCCTAGCTGTGAATAAAGAATTTGTACAATGTCATTGATAATGCTTGCATAATGCTTCATTCAGATGAATGCCATATATGGCATACCACCATAATATAAAGCACATCTTTAATATTACATGCATATAGAGCCAAATTACAGTGATGACCCCTGATTAACTATCCGTCAAGTATTTGGCCCTTTTCAGGTGTGGTTAGCTACTCTGGATGACTTATAAGACACATCGACGTTGTTTCAGTCTGTCAAATTGCCTTAATACAAGAAACCACTGTGTTGGGTCGTTTTGCTGCCAATCCCACAAATCTCACCATTAGAATGCCAAAGTGTGTGAGGTGATTACACAAGCAGACGGTCCTGTTGCTGTTGGACTCCGGACTGACCTCACAGCCTTCACTATTCCAGCCCCCTGTGTGATCTAATGGAGACAAATGGATATTATACATTTACTAAGTCTACATGTACAGCTTCCTATGGGACTGTTTATAAATTATTTTACCCTCACTTTGAAGGTTGAAATCCCAAAACACACAAAGAGGCTTTGGTTCTCTCTGGAGGACAGACAGACACATTAAGAGTGTTAGGCATAATTGTTCTAGTTAGCTTGGACAAATATTTTTTTGGAAGAAAATGACTGCTTTGAAATGTAATTGACAGGAAGATTAAACGAATAAAACTAATATTTACTGTAATTACTCGTAGAAAACCCTACAAAATCCAAGTTTCTGCAAAAACGCCAATAAACAACACAATAAACTTTGGTGTTAGACACCCCCTACTGACAAAAAAAATAAAGAGTACCTGGTACTCCAAATGTGCAATCTCGATCTTGACGGGATCCTGCAGGTTTTTGATTATGAAGTTGCCAACACTGCTAGCCACCACATAGCTGTTCAAGGACTTGCCATTACTTGGCTCATCCTGAAAAGAAATGAAACAGGATGTCAGGACAAATCTGTTCATCTTACTTTTAGGGCGAATTACACCTCAATTTTTGTCAATATAAATATATCAGTTTTGTAAGTATGGACAGAGTATATCACTTTTGTTAGCTATTAGTAAGTGATAAATGTTGAACATTTCATTAGATATACATGTTAATCAAATTAATGACATACTGTTTAAACGGTTTGGGACGGTAAGTTTTATAAATAAGTCTCTTATGCTCACCAAAGGCTGCATTTTTTGATCACAAATACAGTAAAACAGTAATATTATTGCAAAATAAATTTTTAAAATGTAATTTATTCCTGTGATGGCAAAGCTGAATTTTCAGGAGCTATTACTCCATTCTACAGTGCTCATTTTTTCAGGATGCTTTGATGAACAGAAATTTCAAAAGAACAGCATTTATCTAAAATAGACATTACTGTTACTTTTGATCAATTTAATGCATCCTTGCTGAATAAAACCCCAAACAGTGTATGTTACGCAATTTAGAGTTAGTTAACTCAGCACAGAGAAAATGTCCAGATATTCATTACCGTACCATTAATGATCCAAAGTGCTAGTGACAGAAATATCAATAACAATTGTCAATATTACATTGTTCTTCATTCCTTTACATAAAGCCTTACTTAAATGTGAATGGGCTATAGAAAACCACAAACACTGATTCACAGAAATATGTACAGTACAACGATATATATATATAAAGCTAATTTGGTTCATGCTCACCTGAAAGAGCCCTGTCCTGGTGAAGAACATAAAGTTTATTCTGGACACTCTCTCCATTTGTGAATTACTCAGGTTGTGCAGCAGTGTTGCAGGTAGAGTGACCACAGCCAAAGCATTCTGGGCCTCTGACTCAAAATCAATCTGTGGAGAAAAACCTACTCATCACATGTCTGCATAATAATATTAGTCAAAATGTTTAATAAATGGTCATGCAAACAATGGGGATGTTCTCATGAGTAACATAAACACCCAGATGTCTTGTGTTACTGAAGCAAAATTGTGTTATATAGTATAATAGTATTAACCAAAACAGTATTCTTAAGAGCTACAATTGCATTTGAAGAAGTTACTGCACCATCTGCCAGAATAAAAAAGTAATTAATTCATTACAGGATCTCAAGTAAAATATAAACTAAACAGGCATCTGGTTTTACTGTATAACCTAAAATGTAGTATGGAGCCTTCCGGCGATAATATACACTTTTGTTTTTCTAATTTGTAGTTTTAATTCTTTGAAATGCCTTAAACATTTACAGTGAACCTGAACTATATACATACTGTACAAAATGGCACAAAAAAGCAATGATTTAAAGCTGCGAGCATGCTAAAAATAAACAAAATCCGCTTAAATACTTGCAAAAATATACATTCTGACACTCATGCACAGAAAGGAGAGAAAATGTGCAATTTTCTGAGTCATTCTCAGACTCTACAATGTTGCTTTTTCCTCCCACAACTTTCCAGGAATCATTGGCTCTTAATCAATGGGTGCAACCTCTGGGTACGGTCCATAAATGTCACCTCTCATTACACTGCTTTAACAGCTAAAGATTACTTTAAAACTTTACTGCTGAAATATTTGGCCAGCAAAAAGCACAGCTCAAATGTTTGGGCAGCCCACTTTAGGAAGTCTTAAGCAGATTTTACATGCAGTACATTATAAAATATACACACACTACCAGATATAGACGCCCATCAAGCAGAAACACTCACATACGGGTGTCACATCCAATGACATGTACCACCTGAAGCATAGAGGTGGCATAATATTTACCTGAGGGTCTGTCGTGTTTGTTGCTATAAACGCACTGAAAGTGGTCCCATTAAAATTGCTGGTGTTGAGGGCAGAAACTCCTATTGCCAGATATTTGGATGTGATGGTCAGTGATTGTCCATCAAACTCCATCTTCTGCACTAGTTCATCCACTGCTTTGAGAGCTCTGAACCAAGACACCAAGAAGAGAAACAGATGATAAGATTAAAAACTTCTGGACTGAAGATACACTATTTTATCTGAGAGACAACAAATATATCTTAGATCCAGTAAATAATGCTGAGAAATAACCAAAGAAGCCCTAATTGCATTTAAAACCATAAAAACGTTAACCGTAGGGACTTGTTTGCATAGGAGTTCATACAGAGAATGAAATCTTACTTATTTAAATTAGGCAGTTGTTACAATAATGCCGCATTTTAAGTTATGACAACTGGAAATTTGATATTTAGTGAAGCTATTTAATTAAACGTGTTGCAAACTCTGCGTTTTCTACAGTGTAGGTAAGAGCACATACGTCTCTGAGTTGTCCTTCTGAGCGGCATCTGAGCTGACCATGACGTTGGAGATGATAGTGACCATAGTGCTGGCCAGGGTGGCATTGATTTTGGCTATGTTCACAAGCTCTTTCAACTTGGAGACAATCTGTGTCACCTCCTCTATTGAGAGCTCATTATTGGTGATGTCAGCGAGCTGCACGGCCACTTCCATTGCATTCTCTGTTGAATTGACCGTAAGAGTTATTAAAGCTAGTTTTGATTCCAGAATACTCTGTGCAGTATGGATCAGAACCTACCTTGTGAAACAAAAATGCTTGTTATATTAGTGCAGTTTCCACGGTCAGGGAGGCCCCAAAATGATGTATAATTATACTGGTTAATCATGCTAAAGAGCAGAAAAAACAAATGCAAGATATTTAACTGACTTTTCGAACAAACCTGCTAAAACATGATTACTGCTTGTAACTGCGCATTAATTAGTAGGTTATTCTTATTTACATCGATATAGGTATACTGTAAGTGTCTACTCACCAAGTCCTGGATGCATTTTGCTCTTTGTAAGGGAAGCAGGGGATATACTGGGTGACAGTGGGTCTGCTCTCTGGCCATCTGTAGTGGAATGGAAACTCCTCTGGCTGGCAGTTTTCTGAGGCAAAGCAACACAGGTAAAGGATTAAAAGAATTCAATTACAAACCTTTCTTTAAAGAGGAGCCACATCACATCACAGTTGACTCAAGAGGACTCCAATGCCTGCGAGCACTTCAGACAAAGCAAACTCTGAATCAACATGCACCTATGCTAAATGATCTATATCATTTTGTTAACAACATGTATTCATTACTTCAATGAGCCTTAAATTAATACATTGTTCTCTAACTGCATGATTTGTATACATGATGTACATTTCTGTAATACATTACTCTGGTAACACTCTAAATTATAATTTAGATACATGCACATTCTGCAAAGCCGCTTTGAATCGATATGTATTGTGAAAAGCGCTATACAAATAAATGTGAATTGAATCTTATGAAACTTTTCCAGCCTGTGTGCTTCCTTAAAGGTGCACTCTGTACTTTTTTTCTCATTAAAAGCTTTTACTCATAAGTGAATGAATGCCATGCTGAGATGAATACCATCAGACATATTTTAGGAGACATTATGATATTTTTTGGGCAATATGCAAATGCTTAGTCATAACCTGCAGGCCTACTGAATTACTGAACACTAAGGAGCATGCCATACCCATTAAATTCACGATCATACTGTCCAATATCAAGCCATTTCCAATCCCAAGGTCAATTCTCAGCCTGTTCTCAATCTCTGCCTCTGTCAGACTTGCATCTGTTGTATTGTTATACACCAGCAGGGCCATGTAGGTTTGTCTAAGTAGAATGCAACATCATAAAACATTTTTTTAGATAACAAAAACAAAAAAAAACTGAAAACAAAAGATTTTGAAATATGGTCACCATTACATTAGTAATAGAGATAAAAAAAAAAGATATGAATGCTGAAATGTTTTACCGTATCGTTGTGCCCTTTGAGAGAACAGTGTCAGGTTGGAGACTGAAAAGGGGAGGAGAGTAAGATAGCTAACAGTCATCGTTAGATAAAAGAAAGAGATGTTAATTTTCAAGTAAAAAAAGAACCCTACCTGACACTATTAACATAAACTCTATAGATCCAGTTCTGAAACGTTTGATCAAGCTGCAAAAATCACAGAAATCGATTAGAAAAGAACAACGTGTTTAGAAAGAGATATAATTGAGAGCTAATGCAGAAGAGGAAAACATGATATAATGGTGCAATCAGCAAACCAAGTATTTTCATTTATAGATACTTTAAATATATTAAAAAGTTAAACAAACAAATATGTATATACCCATTGAGATAGTAGCGTCTTAACATCCCTGGGGGTGTTTGGTTGTTCATCGATAACCACAAGAGATATTTTGTAGAAAATTTCCTCTGTAAAAGGAGAAAAATGTATTTTATCAATTAAAACACGATTTATTCATTCACTTTTTTTCTGTGTTGCATAGCAGTAGATAAAAAAATCTTGAAAATGAGCAATTTTTTTAAATCAAATCAATCCGAAGTGTCTTAAGAAAAATCAGTATATGATTTTGCAGGATCATCAAGACATGTATTTTGAGATCTACTGCTATGCTGCACTTCTATCACAAGATGGCTCTCATGTATCTTGAGTTGTTAGTGCTGGACTACTTTAAAATGCATAACTACACCATGCCAAGACTTTCTTAGGAGACTCTATATATAATAAAATAATAATAAAAAAATGATTTCCACAAATTGAAAATGTGAGAGAGTTTCCTTCTCTCATAAAAATCATCAGAGTGCAAATTCTTCTTGAAAGTAAAGCTGAACTGTTCAATGTAAAAAAATAATTAAATAAGGTAGTCTCCTAAGAAGGAAGAATGATAAAAATGTGGATAATTACAAGAGACCTATGCACTCAATCTGAGTACGTGAGTAACAGCCAGTACACGAAGAGCAGAACTGGCTATGGTTAATATCTTACTACTTCTAGTAAATCACATGGAATCAAATATGAAAATTTGCACACCGAGAAGACAGAGTGATTTTTCCCCCTCAATTGAACAACCCATCGATTCTACGATCACTTGCTCAGAAAGTCAGGATTCAGCGATAAAAGAAGCTATCTTTCTTTCTAAGTTCTAGATTGTTGTTGGAAAACATACTGTTCCCGGTTGAAAGTCCACACAGACATGTAATATGAAAGGGAGCTTTACATGGACATGCGGCCAGTTCTGTAGTAGTCCCATTGGTGGCATCACTGTGCATAGAGCCAAAACCTGCGCTGACTCCTTCGGTCGGGGTGTCGACTGTGCCATTTGTAGGGACAAAAGACTGGTCGTCAATAGCTGGAGACGGATGCGTCTCGCTATCTGTGGTGGCGGGCTGAACAACGAGCACATTGTGGTTGTGACTGGGGGGGTTTGCTGATTCATTCTTGGCCCAAAATGGCTGCTTTGTTGTTGAGGAGTGGACATGTTTAGTGTCCAGCATGTCCTGACTGTAGCTGCTTGAGATGTCCATTGATTTGGAGGGTTGAAGGACTGGAATGGAGGCACTTGATTCACGTTCAGATGGCATGCTGCTTGTAAAGGTGGAGAATTGATGAAAAGCAGGGTTTGGTTGGGCATTGGTCATAGTCATTTGCAAAGGAGGAGGAGTGTGTGGCAAGTTCACCGACAATGATTCAAATGTGTGTACATCTGTTCTAAACAATTCATGGGCTAAAATAGCGTTTGAATGGCTCATAATCTGCTTAGTGGTCATGTTTGCGGAGTTACTATGTGAACCAATGGAGTCATGTGAGCTGTTTTGGTTAGATGACTTAGAGACCTCTGACATATTTAGAGAAGAAGTTGTATTGAGAGACCATGTGGTAGTGGTGGCTTTAACATCTCTGTGGGTTGGAGTGCTTATTCGGCTATATGCACCAGAAATAACAAATCCATCTTGATACATCTCTCCTTCAGACTGAGAAGGAAGGAGATCAGCAGGCTGTATGAAGTTAGAAATGTCCATTGTCTCTGACTGATATCTGAATTTGGTTTCATAAGGTGAGGCCTCATCTGGTCCAATCTTACTTATCAAATTGAACAAAAGGGAGGGAAATATTTCAGCTGATGAAATTTGGGAACTCTCCCCCGACCATGCTGAAGTGACCATGCCCTGTTCTGAGCCAGAATCTAAAATATTTTGGGAGGGCAAATTGAATGTTGGCGAGTCATCTATCTTTTCCACTTTCATTTGAGAGTCTGAAATAAGGGGTGAAGACTGAGAACCTTTCCATTCATCTGTCAGGGCCACCACAGAACCGTGTGGTAATTCTGAACTAGTGCCGACAGAAATATGAGGCATATGCGACAAGTCCCTCAGATCAGTCTCCGAAGGATTAACATCGTCTTGCCTGCTTAAGCCTCTGAAAAAGGTCTCTGGCAATCTGTTTACATACGACGGCTCCAGCAACAGAGGTGAATCTAATTTGGACCGGCTGCCCACTATTGACGTAGAAATGCTACTTGTGATGCCCGGATACAAAGTTGGGAATTGGCTGGAGTCAACAGCTTGAGGGTTTTCAGAGAGGATAAACTGATTGTTCATTGAGGGTAAAACCAGGTCAGTATTGTTTATGGCATCAGAGATAGAGAGACTTTGGGCTGAGCCAGGTGTCAGAGATGGGAAAACATCAGTGTGCGGCGAAGAAGACAACAGACGTGGCCTGATGGCCTCTATCATTAAAGAGTCACTTTGAACCCCTGCAGAAGACAATGAACTCAGAGGCTCAATAAGAGTGGCAGCACTGAGGTTGAATCCATAAGCAGTCCAGTCACCGGCTCGACACTAAAAGAGGGAGAGAGAGAGGAGATAACAAGTGTCTCTGTTGTGAGGGGATAGCTGCCTTGAGGAGCGAGAGGGCTCGCTGCCAAAGGCTCAATGAGTAAAATAGTTTGATCAGGGAGATAGTCGAAAGAGCTCTGTTGGGAGGTTGATGAAGAAAAGGAAGGAGCGGCATCGGTAAGACTATACTCATGTTCTGTCAAGCTCGTCCTAACATAACCCTCTGCTAATGTTTCTATCTGGTCCCATGTAACCGCTGTGGGCATGATGGTGGACTTTTTCTGTTGCACATCTTTAAAGGTGTCCTTAGTGGCAGTTGCCACAGAGAGGCCCCAGGGCACAGTGCTTGTTAGCTTTATATCCACAAAGTGTGTGGGCGACCGCTCTGGCCATGCTGCTGTTTGGCCAGAGAGACTCTTGAGCTCAGGCTGGATCATTTGCACACCTGGTCCTCCCTGACTCATGCCGGGAGAAGGGATAAGTGTCCATTTTCTGTCTGTCTCAAGCTGCTCTGAGACCTCTGCCAACTCTGACATAGCCAAGGGTAAACTAAGGTCTGACTGACTGGGTAAATGTTCATGTTTGCTAATAGCCTGTCTCACAGGTCCAAAAGTCGTGGTGTTGACAGTTGGCACACTTTCTACTTCTAAGAAAGACATGTTATGTGGGATGGCAGTGGCCAAGCTTTCTTCCAAGGAGTAGGAGGAATCAAAGTCAAACAGGCTGAAGACATCATCATCCAAGTCAATGTCATAAAAAAAGGTTTCTGCGCCAAAACCAGATGGGTAATCAAGCATCTCTGTGCTGTTCTTGTCACTATCGCTCAGGACCAGTTGAGGAGCTAGCGGCTTATTCTTACGATTACTGAGTGACGCCACCTGGAAAGACTCAAAGTCTTCACTCTGATTGTGAGAATCTGGTTTCCATGGAGGCTTCACCTGGGAATAGGCCGACCCCATGCTTGTAGAGTCAGTTTTCTTGGCAACAGAGGCCATTGTGGATGTTTTCAGCCAGTGATATTCATTCATCATGCTTATTGTCGGTTGGGCAGGCGGCTTGGTCAGATGGATGACGGGACGTTTGTGTGGCCGAGTGACGGCAGCCTCAACTTTCTTCCTCACGGGCCAGATGAGGGGTGTGGAGATGAAGCCGAGTGATGTTTTGGGGCCACGGGGAGCAGGAGCAACAAGAGGCCTAGCAGGGGGAGAGCTAGTGGACGGAGTCTCAGCGCGAGGAGTAAACCGCAGTAGTGACCACAAAAATGCAGCCCTCTCTTTTTCTGCTCCAATTATTTAGCAGAGGATCCAGGATTTGGTAAAAATGAAGAGGTCAGAGCAAGCTATTATTTATCTTTGCAGATATACAGTGCACCATATAACAGAACAAAATAATATGCTGGAAAACATCCTGAAAAAATCCTGAGAAACTCTAGAAATAAAATTTACTGTAGCACAAGGACTGTTTGAAACAAATAAAGCACAAACATAATCCAGGCTTCAATACCTAAATGAGGACTTTAAAGAAAGCAAAAATGAAGTTATACAGCAGAAACACAGGTCAAGGATTTCAAGAAAACTGTCAGGAAGGCAATACAGAGGGAATGATAGCAAGAAAGTATTAGGATCATACATAAGCCAATAATTATTTTTAAATGACTTACAAATACTAAAACAATATATCAAAATAGATTATATTAAATGTACACAGGATGCTTTTCAGAAAGTAAAAGAACAGTAGATAATATTGAAATGAAGCTTTGCTGAAGAGCAAGAGAACAGTAGAGAACTGTAATAGCTGCCAGGAAAGGTTTTAGCTGAACACATTTAGGGAATTTAAGAATATGCAATGAAACAGAAGAGG